AAGATTTCAAATTCAGTTCCTGATTATGTGCGGTTCTTACTTGCTGGTGACATAAAAGTTTTGGCGAAAAAAGTGCTGGCTCGGAAAATTGAGCAGCTAGATGGCTGAAATTTTATGAGCATGTTTCTTGCCCACGTACAATTTAAAAATTTCAAGCTTAATTCCAAAGTATGCTTAGTTCTCACGTATGAGCACATGAAATTTTCGGCAAGAAAATTGCCAAACCGGGGAACAGGACAGCTAGGCCGTTTTTTGTTAACGACTGGTCGCAGAAAATTATTCATTTTCCTTCGCCCAAAATTTTGGTAGTGAGTGTAGGAGTTAACTGTAGAGCAAAACCATACGTACTGCTGATGACCTGATCGTTACAAGTCTAGCGCAAAAACGCATGATCGTCCCGCAGGCCTGGCGCGTACTTTGGAGACATTCAATAGGGTTGTACACGCTGGTGATGGTGATGATGAGAAAAGATAAAAAAGTTACTGCCAACAAGGAGAATCTGAATAGAACTGGAACAGTTGATCTTGGACATTTAGAAGGTATAGAGTGAAAATTTTTGTTCGACCACTCGTCAGTTCTGTTTCTTGCACTGGAAGGCTGTCATGTATTTCATTTTTCGCTGCGGTTTTGCACCGAATTTCTCATAAGAACGTTCAGCATCGTTACTTTTGGCGGCTGAAGTAAACATATAGGTTGCTATAAACTTCATCAAGAGTCGGGGTAAGAGTTGGAATTGTCACTCCCATTTATACTTTTTATAATAAGTGAAATATGTGTAAATTTTGCATTCGAATTTTGGTGTACAAAAAGATAGAACAAGTTTATCGAAACAGCATCATTTCAGGTTTACGCATAAATTCACAAAAAAATGAGCGACTTTCTATTTCATCACAAAAAAGTTCATCACCAAAGCAGCTTATTCCTGAAAACCTAGTAAGAGTTTCATAAATTCATTATAAGCAATCCGTTTTTTTTTTAAAATAAAAATTTTGTTTAAAATCAATTGAAACTTCTATTAGTACCAATGCTGCTGTGATAAAGGAATGTATTAAAAAGCGATTTTTTTCAGCGATCTTTTTTGACCCCAGCTGAAACGAGTAAATCTTTTTGATCACGGCTGTCTTTCTCCCTCTATTAATTTCATCACTTAATCGCTTACTTGTCTTCTTTCAAGTTTGATAAATATAGTTCGCTCAAAACCCGTCAAAATCGCAGCATTCTTTCAAGATTTTTGTCTTTTATTGCTGCTTATTTTCTAAAGCATCGATGATGCTTGGCTGGGCCAGCCGTGCTGTAATAATCAAACCAATAGTAATAAGCAGGCTGACTGCCGTGAAGAAGAACAGAAATACTCGATCCAGGATAACAGCTAAAAATTCCCATTCCAGAGTACACTGTCTGCGATACTTCATCGATTTCACTTGAGAAGATTCTTTCTACAACAGAAAAAAAAATATTTAGGAATATAAGAAGATGCGTTGAAGCAATACAAGTTCTAACATCATGTCTGTCGTTCGACTCGATCTGTGACGGCGAGCTAGCAACCGGAAGGTGAGGAACTGTTGGGAATCTTAGATATTGCTTGCAAATAAAAATACGTACCCAGGCTCTTTAAAAAAAATACTGTGTGTGGCAATTTAGCGTAGCAGGCCTTAAAAAATGAATGGAGTGACAAATTAGTAAAACTGATTAGTCTACGATGATGAATGTTGACAAAGACTCTAAATGCTTTGTTAAAAAGCTTGTTTAGTACGTAAAATAGGCAGGGTTACGCTATCTTGTTCAAAGATCTCTGCAATCAACGAGAATTATTGACAAAATGTAATGAAACATGAAAAAGTGTGAAAATAGAAACATAAGGCCCGCGTAATCGGACGCACGTGTTCTTTCGTGCTTGTCAACCGACGTAGGGCACACAGCTTTCCAAATGAAAAATGTGAAATAATAGAATAGAATGGACTGAACTATGTGTCAAGTTGTGTTAGGGTCCCTTAGCCTTAACACAGACTGAAATTTGCATAAGGGTAGGAGCGAGAATCATCAGTACAGCCTCCTAAAATCATTAGACTTTTAATATTAAGTCGAACTCAACAAATTTTGGTATATGAAATTTACGAGGCTCTCGCCAATCGGTTCAGTCGGTAATTAGCAGAAAGAAGAATCACTAACAAATGGAAAGCCGAAAACCGTTTTGCTTTATAAAATCGGTGGTAGGTGAAGAGTGAAAAAAAACCGCCCGTCTGCTTGCTCGGTCATGTTTACAAACTGTTCACAAGAATTATTGTTAATTTTATTCTGTACCTTTTTCAGACTGTTTATAACCTAAGTACCAGAACCGTTTTCTTCCAAACCCTAAATTAGCTCGGTTAGTTAATTTCCGAAGATTTTTTTTTAATTTAGATGACAGGCACAGTAAGAGAGTTTGTCACCTTTGTCGAAGTTTCGCTCGTGAACCTGACAAATTCGGCTGCCGAACTCCACAATGACAAACGTTTGCCTTCGGTGCGTAATTTTGATACTTTATGCTTCAAAATCGATGAAAGCCGCTCGCCGTGCGCAGATTCTGGCTCACCTAAAACATTTCTTTCATACATAAAGCGGAGTTGTTTTAAAATGAAAATTTGTATGGCGTTTTGACTTCTGAAGACTTACCCAGCTAAAGCATTTGGGATTTCAATAGAGAAACATGTTTTTCTTACCTTTATTTTTATTTCTTACAATTAAAGAAATTCGAGCCCAGTTCTGTTTTGCGGACATTACGCCATCGGCCGGTGCAACATCATTTTTTTTGACTATTTGCGCAGCCGTTTTTGTATCTCCCACTGACACCGATGACTTACTGAGAACAGACTGAAAAATTATAAGTTTCATTTTGACGGTAAATCGCATTACGGGCAAACCATTTGAGCCTTTGCTTATGTATGTGTGGGAGTATATGCGGAACTGCTAGAGCTAGAAGCTTAAATTTAAGAAACAAACTCCTCCAACACTCTACAAAATCACGATTGTAAAATCACCACACACCTTTTTCCGTATCTCGGCCAACACGGTTACAATGCGGAACAATTCAAACCTAGGCTGGAACGCACCAGGCAAGCCGGTGCGATCATGCGTTTTTGCACCAGACTTGAAATAATTAGG